GGGAGAGGGGGGTTCTATGCACAGAGGGACAAGAACAGGCTCCTGGGGAGAGGGGGGTTCTGTGCACAGAGGGACAGGAACAGGCTCCTGGGGAGAGTGGGGGTTCTGTGCACAGAGGGACAAGAACAGGCTCCTGGGGAGGGAGGGAGGGGCCCCTGGGGACCCTGGAGTGTCCGCAGCTACAGGAGAGCTCTTCACCTCAGGACAGCCCGCAGAGAGGCCACAGGAGGGTCGCTGACATGTCTCCAGGCTGCTCCTTGCAGCACAGTGCCCCTTCCAGACACTTGAGACCCTGACATTCCCAGAGTGTGGGCTCAATGTGGAAAGCCCCCTCGGAGCTGAGCCTCCCCCAGGCTCACAGTCCCTCACTCCAGGGCAACTGAACAGGAGTGGTCACTTTTTAAAATCCCAGACACTGTGTGCCACAAAGGTTGGCCTGAAAGGGTGGGGGAAGGAGGCAGTGGCGGGTGTAGGCGCTGTGGCAGGCTTACCAATGGCACTGAGGGCGTGTTCGAGCTCCAGGGCGAAGGCAGTGAGGGGCTCGTCCTCGGACACTGGCATCACCGCCACCGTTGACAGGTTGCCAGCTGGGTTCCCTATGTCCCATTTGCTGCCCTCCGTATGCAGCCCAAACGGGTGACCTGCAGAGCACAGGGCCAAGGATCAGGCAGGGTGGCTGGGCTGTGGAGGGTACAGCCGGGTGTTTGCAGACGACATCTCGGCACAGTGACTGTAAGAACACACCCGCATGCCCTTGGATTCCACACACCAGCACTGGTGAGCTCCGGGTGCTGACCAAGGGAGTGGACTCATCCTGACCCACTGAGCCGTGGTGACTCAGGGAGCAAACAAAATGTAGAAAAGAACATGAGGCCCAGAGTGAGCTCAAACGGGAAGACATTCTGCCAGAGGAGAGGATTCCTCCCCTGAACCAGTCCTCTGCAGTCCTTCCACCACTCACTAGAGGACAGCGAACACAAGCACTTGGAAGACCAATGGACGTGCTCTTATTCTCTTACGTGCGTGGGATTTCCAGAAACCAAGGGAGGCACAGACCCACCCACAGGGAGGCTGGGAGCGGTCGGGGGCAGACCTGGGGAGACACCAGCAGACCCAAGCCTGTGAGGGGAAGTCAAGGCGGGAGAGCTTTCCTCTGCCCGAGACCACGGGCCTCCTAGGGTGCCACCAACGGGCACACCCAGACGGCTGGGAGCTCCTCCTGGAGCCCTCACCTGGGCCGTGGGCCACAGTCCTGCCAGCCAGGGTCTCCTCTGGCCTGTGCACGCCGTGGGCTTTCCTTCTCGCCCCGACCACCCACTGCCCACCCGCCCTGTGCTCTCCTCCCCCATCTCCCTAGAGAGTACATGGGGGGTCCCAGCTCCTCCAAGATGCTTTGTTTCTGATCTCTCCTCACCCCTGGTGAGGTGGTTTCCAGAAACCAGCAGACATGGCAGTTCCTGATTGAGTGCAGGGCCCCTGTGGGCTGAAGAGCTGGTCACTTGCTGCAAACAGTGACCAGCAGAAAAAAATCTGCAGTCACAGAGGGATACGTACACAGTGTTCACTGCAGCATTGTGTGTAAGAGCTGAAGACAACAGATGCCTGTTAACGGGGGAAACCGATGACTGACCACACAGCTATCAAAAAGAATAAAACACATCTTTATGACATACTGTAGAATAAAAAAGGCTATGGAATACTTTGTAAATATAATTCCATTATTAAATAAACATTCGAAACGAAGGTGCCCATATCAATCCATAGACAGAAGTCTAGATAAATAGAGGTTGTCTACTCATTACCCCAAGTGACATTTGAGTTGCAAAACAGCGCCTGATACGCGAGCTCCAGCCTTCCCAGCCAACACACCAAGTGCTCGCCTGTGCACAGTCCACACACATCATCAGCAAACAGGCCCCAGGCCACCAGCACCCAGCCTCTGGGTCCAGCCGCTTCCTCCAGAGAAGGCTTCTCTGCACAGTGTCTAGAACAGACCTCGACACCCCAGTCAGACTCGATCCCTCTTCTGCTCAGAGCCCTCCAGCTCCCCTCCCCATGCACGACAGGCCAAAGCCTGCAGCCGCCCATCTGGTCCCTGAGAGCCTCAGG